AATGGAACTTGAATGAACTTTTAATTCAACGCTGTAAAATATACTTATTATGTAAATAAGTTAGCAGCTTTTGGGGGTTGTATATTTCAACCTCAAAAACACGTGACACATGAGGTTTTTTTCGCGAAGAAAATTGAAAATTTAGACTTTTTTTAGTTTTTAGTTAAAAAACATAATTTCTTGATAATATGGTAGCATAGGTAGTAGATTAAATATACAAGAAAGAAAGCCCATTCCAGTGGTTCTCAAAATTTAAGCAAAAAATAATTTTTTAGAATGTTTAAAGTAAAATAAAGGAGTTATTTTGGATTTATTTGAAAAACGGTAAAGAGAAAATATGTCTGTTCTCTTCGATGCCTGTTCTCTTCGATCGAGATCTACCAGCCCTGAAAATATTTGTACTTATTTAAGACTCGCCCAGTATAAATAAAAAAGGTTAAATTTTACAATTTGATTTCCAGATCGATTAATTTCAATGTTTATAATAAATTGAAAAAACAAACCTTTAAAATGCAACAACTCTATTCTATACTTTATGCATTAAAACTATTATAATAGTTTAGTCATAGAACGTGTCGTGCAAACATATAACTATAAAAACAACATTTATTGGTAATAAACTATAACTTCGCTAAACTTGTATTTCCAGTAAAATAGTTTGAAATCTGTTTTGCAGTATTCGAAAGTCTAATTTTAACATATAAATATGTCTGTTAAAATTAATTGTGCTCTGTATTTAAACGAGTCAAGGTAACAACAAGATCACAGAAATCGTACGATATAATATTGACTTATTAATATTTAAGTCTTTATATTCCTTTTGAACTAATACATGAATTTTGTGTCAATACTAATAGTTAATATGAGACTGAGATATCTGTATTAGGAATGCCCCTGACTGAGAATTTTAATTAATTTGAAATTTCAACGTGACTACAATATCAAGATTGGAGTTTTTTTTAAATTTGATAATTGCATCTTGCAGTACTTGTTTAACAATGTAAAACTACTTATGTAAAATAAAAATACGGTTTAGGGTTGTGTCTATATGAGTTTTCTTTGATAGGTCGTTTTTACCCTTTTAATACATCTTTTCCTCATAAATGGTTTTAGTGATACGGGGTGAGTCATAAATAAGTGCAAATATTTTTACTTTACCGGTTTTCAAATAAGTCCAAAATAACCAAGTTATTTTACATTGAAAATTAAAAAAAAACTTTTACTTCAATTTTGAGAACCACTGACCACTGGGTCTTTTCTGGGTTTTCTTTCTTGCAAATTTGGTCGTCTATAAATATATATATATTATTTATAATATAAATTTTCATTTTTTTTCGCAAAAAAACCTTATAGACGTGTTTCTGGGGACGAAATATACTACCCCTAAAAATATTTGCACTTATTTAAGAATTACCCTCTATGGCATTTAAAAACAATATTTCCCCAATTTTTACAGGGAATTCAAATCTAAAAGAAAAGTGAATATATCTATTTAAACGAAGAAGTAAGATTTATAGAATAAAGCTTCTATTCACAAGAAGAAGAATTATGGAGATGATTAAAATTAATGATGCTAACATGGTTAGCGAAACTCGTGTCCAGTTTAAAAGTGTTGCTGTATTGCTGTGAACTAGTTTTATTAGAACTTCATTTTACTGTTCTTACGCCAAAGGTTCCAAGCCCAACTGTACTAGAGTGTTTACGTTTGATTATCATCTTTTAAATAAAATTAAACACATTGCATTGCAAGATTATGCAAAGAGCTAGAAGAACATGCAAATAACAACAGATCTTACGAACTCGATGACAAAGTGAAATACATGTCTAGAGAATTTAAGCCACAGACACAAATAATAAAAAATGATAATGGAGAGACGATTAGAGACACCAGAGCATATCAGAAGTATGGAGACAATATTGGGAAAAACTGTTCTACGAGACAGATAAAGATGAATATCATACCCCAGAATTTGAAAAGTTTGACAAAAACTACAATTCTAAAGGATGAAGTGGAAAAGGCTATTAGATCTTTAAAAAAAAACAATAAATCACCTGGTGAAGATGGAATACCCGCTGAGAGCATTAAAACTATGGGTGATTTTGGCATCGGCACGTTTCACAAACTGTGTGTTATGATATGGCAAACTGGTAAATGGCCAAGGGAATGGTTTGAGTCGATATACATGCCGTTGCACAAGAAGGGCTCTCCGACAAATTGTAGTAATTATAGAACAATAATAGCACTTATGTCACATGCAAGTAAAATTCTACTCCATATCATAAATGACCGCTTAAAGCATTTTTTGCTCCCGCAGATCCCTGACGAACACACAGGGTTTATGCCAGGAAAAGGAACAAGAGAACAGATCTTGAATGTAAGGCAAATAATTGAAAAAGCATATGAATTTAATGTTATAACGTATTTATTCTTCATCGACTACAGTAGAGCTTTTGATTGTGTAAAGTGGAAGAAGCTGTGTCTGGTGTTGGAAAATATGGGAGTACCAAAACACGTTATATTTCTACTTAAAAATCTTTACGAAGACAGCTCCGGGAAACTCAAAGTCAACAACGCTCTCTCTAAGTCTTTTGGCCCGAAACGTGGTGTGAGACAAGGTTGTATAGTTATCACCCATACTCTTCAATATCTATGGAGAGTACATAATGAGAAGAGTCTTACAGGGTTGCAGAGGCGGACTAACGATAGGTGGAAAAAATATCACAAATCACAAACCTTAGATATGCCGATCACACCTTAATTCTTGCATGCGCTGAGGAAGAACTTGTTCAAATAATGAGAAGGTTGAGTAAGATTAGTGCGGAACCTAGCCTTATGCTGAACAAGAGGAAAACGCAAATCATGATAATATCCGAAATCCTACTAACATCAGGGAGATAGATGGTTTCGAGGTGATTGTAAAGTTTAATTACCTCGGATCCCTCATAACAAACAAGGGAGGCTGTGACGAGGAAATCAAACGCAGGCTAGCACTCGTAACTCGACGAGTTATGCATCTGAGATCTCTGAAAACTACAAACAGACGAAAAATAGATGCTTATTTCGAAATGTGGGCATACAGAATATTGCTGCGAATTTCATACACAGAACATCGTACCAACGAACGTATCAATTCTAAAGCAGTTGAAAGTTAACACAAGACTAAAGTAAACCAGTTATACCTTAGGTACTTTGGGCACATTTCGAGAGGAGAGATGGACTGGAAAAAATCATAATTGAAGGGATGATTAATGGCAAACGATCAAAAGGAAGATCTCCGACGCGCTGGGTGGACTAAACCAAAGAAATTATTGGTCATGGCCAGCAAGAGGCTTCTATAGCCGCTCAATATAGAGAGGGATGAAGAACAACGATCTGAGCAATTGAGGCATGATCGCACCATATTCTTTCGAGAGTTAACGAACGAGAAGAATAAGAAATAAAATTATTATCTTAGACAAGGCTTATTTTTTTGTGATTTAATAATGAATATTGTGAATTTTCTTCCAATATAATATTATTACTTGATTTCCATAGCATTACTTGTAGAAATTTCTTCTATGTATTAAATGATGTACCAGAACAACAAACTATCGATTCAAATCTTTATAACGAATCAATCGTATTTATTATGTATTTAGTTACCTGACTCTAATCGAATAAGAATTTATTTATATTCATTCTTGTTCATAGAGTATGATATTATTGGCTTAAATACACCTGTCTATAACTTTTATTGTGAATAATACAACCTATATTTTCTAACAACATAATTAAAAGTTTTAAGTCTTAATAGCTTCAAGGAAAATACTCTTCATGTTTTATTTTCAATATTATAATAAGTTCAACAAGAGCGGCGAAGCTTCCATTGATGCGGGTGATGCGTCCGTTGCATCCCTTCAAAATATTGTAATACGTTTTTATTTTTAAAGTTACGTATTATAAAGTATAATTCGATCTGATCCTGATATCTCCTATAATAAATTAAAATTCTCAGTAAATTTATTCAAATATTTAAATTCAATTTCAATTATTTAATGTGCGTATTGGTCGAGTTTATCGATAACGTTAAGACCTACGCTAAACGCTAAAAATAAATATATCCCGACAGCGCAACGATGCGACTGTTCTTGTTCAATCTTGGACGCCTTTGAAAGCTAGCCGGAGTCAGCAAACTTTTCGGCCGCGATTATGTCTCCCGTTCGCTGTTTTATTCGGTGGGTGATGCGGTTTTTTAAACACATCTTGCGGTATAAAATAAAATAAAATAGTCGCGCGCCGCGATGATAGATTTTGAGCGCGGCTGTAAAACCGAAATAAATTATCATCCTTCAGCAGTTCCATGATTAATTTAGAAAAATTAAAAACTATTGAAAGAGGACCTCCAAAGCCTATTTTGAATATTAATACTAAATTAAAATGGTGTATTCGCCATTTTAGTAAAAATGTTTATAAAAGTGAAATTGGTTATGTGGTTGTAAGGCACCAAAGTAAGGCACTAATAAACTTTTTTGTTGGCCTTGTCTACTACAGATACGTTCATAGCTTTGTTTTTTTTAACTAAATTCAGTTCTTTTTTTTTCAATCGGTTTGATCATTTTTTTAACCTGTTACATTTTTGTATATTTTATTTTTGTAACTTCAAAATTAAAGACTTTAATTTAAAAAAAAGAAAAAAGCCTTATTGTGTTGGTGAAATGTTAATTGGAGTTATTTATTATATCCCCTTTGTTCAACAAGATAATATATGATTTCGACAGATTTGGACAAGACATCCAATAAAATCAGAAAAAATCTACTACTACTAAAGTCAGCGTTTGTTACAGTAAAGTTTTATTTCAATTGCGATCTTTTAATAGATTTTTGGCACTGTATTTGTTTGCCTGGAAACCGTAGGGAAACGTTGTTCTTAAACTGATTGTTCGATGGTTTGGTATTTTTCAGATGTTTCGCGTTTCTTTGGCGCATACAGTAATTTTTTCTTTTCGTTCTTATTTTTCAGGAGCTGTCACAACGCCTTGGAGACGACAAAACTATATCCGAGCATTTGAAACTTCCGATACAACGTATAAACGACTACCAACTTCTACTTAAGGTAAGCCATCAAATTTGTTTATACAGGGTGTCTTAAATAAGTGTAAATATTTTAGGGGTAATATATTTCGACCTTGAAACACGTCTATGAGGTCACAAAAAATTGAAAATATGTAGTTTTTTGAAAAAAAAAATGGATTTTTTTAGTTTTTAGTTAAAATTATAATTTCTTGATAATATGGTAAGAAATATAATAGATTAAATTTACAAAAAAGAAAATCCAGAAACGGTCAAGTGGTTCCTAAAATTTAAACAAAAAATCATGTTTTTTTTAATTTTCAAGATCTACCAGCCTTGGAAATATTTGCACTTATTTAAGAGTCATCCTGTATTGTCAGTACTATAGGCATCACCAGTAGTATTCCCATAGCTTATTGCCAACTTAACATTCTGGGAATATATTCTCCAAAATAGATTCCTAAAGATCGAAAGCTGTCGTGTCTTCTCAAAAAAATGATACTATAATAACAGTTATTATTGAACATTCAAACTAGCTAAATAATAGATAATTGAATTGGACCTTTGAATATCATTATCAAATTTAAATAAAACTATTATGAAAAGGATTACAGTTGAGTTCGCCATAAAACAAGCAGCAGATAATGCTAACATGGAACATTACATGATAAAAACTAATTTTGGCAGAGTTGTTTCGTTGATTTCTAATAATCTGCTGATGTTGCTAATATGGTTAAGGAAACGCATGTCTTGTTAAAAGTACAGTGTGTCCCACTAAGAATAGTTTTCGGCTGTATCTCGGAAAGTATTAGTCGTAGAACTTGCGGCAAAAAATATTTATAACTGAAGAGAGCATGAGAAATTGCTGGAAATTATTTTCAAGTTTGTAGAGCGGTGGCTAGAGGGCGCAACTGCTATTAAAATAAGAAAAAGGAGTTTTTATTCAATTTTGCCTAGATAAATAATAGGTTCATAATCTTCAGTAATTTTTGCATATTTTTTGTTAGAACCATTTTCCCCTATCTGCTAAAATAAAGTGGTGGAGAAAGGTTAGATCTGTTTTTGTTTAAATGTTAATAACTCCGGACTGGTTGATCGGAATCCAACAAGCGAGGACTCGTTTAAAAGAGTGTTTCTTACTCTATATTATACCATATCAACAATAAAAATGAGCTTTTGAACGTAGACGCTAGGGGGTGCTGTCTTACAATTTAACAAACATTACGCGGTTTTTCGAAAAAGTTAAATGCGATAGTATATATGTATCATTTAGCTGATATTAAAGAGTAATAAAAGTTTAAAAATTTCAGCGAATTCCGCAAGCTCTACGACTAATACTTTCCGAGATACAGCCGAGAGCTATTCTTAGTGGGATACCCTGTACAGTGCTTTTGGTGTACAGGCAGTCCTCGTACTTACGGCAGGTTAGGTTCTTCAAAACAGCGCCTTAAGTCGAAACGACGTAAGTCGAATCTTATTTTGTCATAAGATTCTATAGAAAATGGAGAAGTTAGGTACTTTTCTAAGATAAAAACACAATAAAACAAAGAGATGTGCGTTTGTATATATTTATATTATTGTATTTTCAAATAATTGAGGTATGAGAAACAGTGCATTGTATATGTAGTTAAACTTATAATAATACAAGAATAAAAAAAACGGAAAACAGAAAAAAAGTAAAATATAAAAAACGAAATATATTTTATAAAGTATTTTTTATGAAAAACATAATTAGAGTATTTTTAGTCCCGCTTTTTTACTATCTAATCAAAAAAAGTATTTTTAACTATCCATAATAGTAAATATAATACATAAACATGACAACTACAGAAATACCAGAGAGGTAAAGTAGATATATTTATAAAGTATATTTATATTTTTTTTTTTGGTTGGAACTTTTACTGTGGGTATCGTCAAAAGGCGTAATAGTTGCTAATTAAGTCATGATCAACACTGTCCCGCTTTTTCATTATGAGGATCTGTCAACCCTGTTTGTATGTTGCTAAAATTTTATTGTTTATGTCCTCTTTGTTCTTTTAAAATTTGGATCGTTCTTTTCAAAAAATGACGTAACTCAAAACAGTGGGACGTAACTTTGAGGAAAAGTGACAAAAATTTGTTCGACGTAACTCGAAACGACGTAACACGAAACGACGTAAATCGAGGACTGCCTGTATTGTGGTGAATCAAAAGAAAAGGGCATTAGAGATATACTTTTTGGGGGGTCCTACATAGGGGTCCCATTTATAAAAAGTGCTGTAGTATGAAAAAATTAATTGCACCGTATATTTTAAATAAATAATTTTATTTATATATTATGGCTTTCTTTAGAGTTTATTCCCGATTATTAGTTTGATGCAAATAAAGGCTCAATATAATTAATTGATGTTTGTACATTTTGTTTTATTTTTTATCAATCAGGGTTTGGGCTTAAAAACCTATAATTTTGTTTAAATAATAATTCGTTTACGATATAAAACTAAGAAATCGTCAGTTCTTAGATTATGATTTAAACTTGTCTGTTATCCATACAGTTTATTTTTACTAGGAAAAATAAATACTTTTATAACAATTAAAAAAGACATCCTACATGTACTAGTTAAATAGAGATTTTGAATTGTTTGCAGTGCCCCTTTTTGGAAGAATGATTCTTAAGTTTTGTATTAAAGGGGGTACTCAGTTATGTACTATATGCCTAATAGTACGAGAGCTAGCAACGTCGGAAAAACAAGTATTTTAAGACGTCTGGCTCTTTGATATATCTTTTACTATGCTCTCTGGAACAGCATGCGGCCCGTCTGGCTGCCGATACCCGTTGCGTTCACTACTGCGCATCGGAAGAAGATCCTATATTTTTTATTAATTTAGTCCTATAAATTCTAGTATTGAATATAAATCGAATATGTCTCCGTAGCGCAGTGCGTTGAGTTTCTGACCACGAACCGATGATTCAGAGTTCGAATCCGGGTCAGGACAAAAACTTTTTTAGTTTATTTCCGTTTATATTCTGATAGTAAAGTATTAAATATTTGTTTTTTTTTAAATTACCAGAATTATTTAATACTTTACTATCAGAATATAAACGAAAATAAACTAAAAAAGTTTTGTCTGACAGATTCAACTCTGAATCATCGGTTCGTGGTCGGAAACTCAACGCACTGCGCTACGGAGACATGTTCGATTTATATTCAATACTAGAATTTATAGGACTAAATTAATAAAAAATATAGGATCTTCTTCCGATGCGCAGTAGTGAACGCAACGGGTATCGGCAGCCAGACGGGCCGCATGCTGTTCCAGAGAGCTTAGTAAAAGATATATCAAAGAGCCAGACGTCTTAAAATACTTTCTCGAAAACGTTGCTAGCTCTTAGACTATAATGCCTCGTAAGTTTTTCTCTTCTATATAATATTTTATTACACAATATAAGCAAATATTTTATTAAATACCAATTTTTACATTTAAGAATGCATTTCTTTTAATATACAAAATACATGAATATACAATTAGATCGAATGTTAGTTGTAGGCTTGTAATTTATTTTGGTTAATATCTAAACAATATAATATATAATATTATCGTCACAAGTTCTCGATATTTTATTACATTTTATAAACATATAGTATTATGTAGTATAAAATAGTTACATATCGATCATTCGTATCCATGCGGGTGTTTTCTTTATTTATACTTGGATCCCAAATTTAAGCTAGCTTTATTCCAAAAAACATAAAATAATTAAATCTTCAAAAATAAATTTCTATGCCAAAACATGTTTTGGAGAACATTATTTCATATTTCCCTGTCAGGCAGAGGAAAAGTGAAAAATTAAATATGTAGTTATATCTTCAAAAATTGGCAGTACGATCAGCAGATATATGTATACTAATCAGTTAATAGTGCTAAGACAGTCCCTAGATTTAAAACAGATGTAAATTCTGGATTTTTCACTAAAGCTCTTTCTTGTTACACTGTAACTGAATTGTAAATAATTTTCTAATTATTATTAAATAAATATATTTTTTCTGGAATAATTACGTTTCTGCTTTTGCCTACTCAAAAACAATAAATTTTATTTTTATCATGATTATACACTTGTGCAGCAGTGTCTAGCGTGTTTTGTATTCTGTTGTTTATTATTTTTGTGAATGTTATTGTATATGTATTGACTTATTGGTCTATAATTTCTGATATCTTCCTTTGCTACCTTTCTTATGAATTAGAATAATTATGTTGACGCTGTTCCAGTTTTGCGGTATATGTTTTCCCCTGAGACAGCTGGTGTATATATTTACTAGGATTTTCCAAGTTGTCCTACCGGCGTACTTAAGTATTTCAGCTGTTATTCCGTCATTCCCTGCTGCTTTGCCATTTTTAATATCTTGAAGAGCTTTTTCTACTTCTCCCATGAGAACTCCTGGGGCGTTGTCTTGTGGTAGGGGGAGTTTTTCTTCTTAATATATGA